GAGCGGGGGCGCGCTCACCGCTGTGCTCTCGGCCCTTGCAGCTGTGCTCAGGGAGAGGAGGGTGCGGGGTGCCCGCGTCGGACAGCGACAGCGCGGGGCTGCGGGCCTCCGCCTCTGAGAGCAGCCCGAACTCCATGGAAGGTTCTGCAAGGAAGAGCACGCAGAGAACAGGTTCACGGGCACATGAGGCCCTTGCCCCCTTTCACAGTTACTGACACAGGACGGCCCCTAAGTAGGGTACCTGGGATGGAGGAGGGAAACAGGAGAAAGGTGCACACCAGAGGTTCGTGCCCAGAGGTACATTAGACTATGTAGCTGCTGGGCGCCTAGAACTGCGTCTGATGCACAGCTGGTGTGTGATATTTGTTGAATTAAAAAAAAAAACCCACACCGTTGCACACCACATGCCATGTTCAGTACCTCTGAAACGCGCTCCTACACACCCCTCAGCCACGACCCGGACCTGCCATTCCTCTTCCTTGGGGCAGGTGTTGTTTGGAACTGGGTCTGATAGTTCTCCCCTGAGAGTAATCGCCGCTGTCACTCACTGGAGCTGGCATTGAGCCTTCCCCTCATTAACTCTCACTTCACAAGAACAAATGGAAATTTATTAATGCAGGTCAGGTCGGTTCCCCTATCTGAAATGCTTAGACCAGAGGTACTTCAGATTTCAAGAGTTTTTAATATTTTGAAATATTTGTATAGATTTACCAATTGAGTACTCCTCCCCCAAAACTGGAAGTCTTAAATGCACCAAAATTTGAAATTTGTTGAGAGTTGACCTTCAACGTTTCAGATATCAGAGTGTCTTGGATTAGGGATGCCCAGACTGTTTTGCTTTTTAAATCTTTTTCTCTCACCATATTGGGGCCTAACCTAGTGCCTCAGTTTTTCATGCTAGGCAAACACTCCACCACTGAGCTACTCTCTGGCCTGGGGATGCCTGACCTGTATTATTCTTTACAAGTGACGGAACTGAAAATCCTAACTTGATTAAGGTCACAGAGCTTGTAAGTAGTGACTGGATCTGAACCAGGTCTGTGGCACTCTTTCTTCTTTTGCCTCCTCAATTGTCTTCAAGGGCCCTGGGCTCAGCTAGAGCTCCTGTCTGGCTTGGCTTGGGTGCATTTCCACTAGGGCAGCTCTCCTTTTGTATTCTTTATGTAGTGTAATTTCTAAGGCAGTTTCATTTGAATAAAGGGTTCCAGAATAAAGAACAAGTTGAAAAGAACCAGGTATTCGGGCCCTGTCTGCTCTTTCACCTGTCCAAACACATCTTCCATCTTGCTGTCATCTGCCCAACTCTGCTGGCCTCAGTGAGGGCCCTCCCTGTCCCACTCCTGGCTGGACTCTGCCCAGGAGACAGCCTCAGGCCCCTCCAGGTGTGCCCTGTGCGTCTCCTTTCCTGCTGGTTCCCAGGACCCTTGTAGTGGGAGGGAGGGAAAAGGGCTCAAGACTCCTGATGCCCTCTCACCTCTGTCAGAGGAGAACAGAAGGAGACTGGGGAAATAAGGACGGGCAGAGTGCTGGCTTGGAGGAATCTTTCTGCACCCAACACCCCTTCCATAACAGGGGCTTATGCAGCCTTCTGCGTGGGGTGGCCTTGATGGGATGGATTAGCCCGGATTGAGATGTGTGTTACTTGACTGCTCTGGATTGATTAGGAGTCTTCTCAGGGAGGTGCAGATGGGCAGTGGACTGTATTTGCACATGGTAATGTCTCCTTTGAGCAGCTCCCAGATCATGGCTGTGCTCCACCCAGGCCAGGTTGAGAGTAGGACAGAGGTCAAAGCAGGGTTGCCCTTTTCACCCGCAGTAGGCTCTGACCATGAACTTTTTGCTGGGGCTGGAGAAGGGCTGGATAGAATCCAGGAAAGAAGTTGGGCCAGGGAGGGGAGGTATGCTTAGCCTACTGCCCTTTCTGGATCTGAACTGAAAATCTCTGGCGCAATGGCAGCCTTCGTTGCAGCTCTTCCTAGGTAGCTGGGAAGATGAGGGAGGAAGGCTGGGGGCTGAGAGCTGGGGAAGTGGCACTTTGAGGTCTCTCTTCCTTCAGGCCCAATGTCACCTGAAAAACAAACCATGCCCCTGACTTTTCCAGGAGTCATGTAAAGGTGGAAAAAAGCAACAGTAGATTTTGCCTGTGGGCAAAACTAAGTCCCCCATTACCATCCATCCTTTCAGTTCGCTTTGGCTCCAGACTGCTGCTTTTCCTAACTCCCTGCCCCCAGCATTCCATACCTAGGTCTTGATTTCACCCTCCATTTCCGAAGAGGGAGACAGAGTGAGGAGGGATGAGGGCCAGAGAAAGAGACAAGCCGAGAAAGCAGAGTTCAGGCTGCGTGATCTCCGAGACAGACAGACACATGTGCAGACACACACAAGCCCCCACTCAGACATAACAAGCACTTGGAGCTCGAGGCACACAAACACGCAGGCTCCCACACTGGGGCAGACAGACACGCGGTCCTGCATCCTCTCTGTGACAGGGACAGCTGCCTGGTTGTTTTGGAGTTAGCTGCTCCCTTCCCCTCCCCTCTCCTGCCCTCTCTGGCCCCTCGTTGCTCTCAGTCCCAGGCACTAAAAACTGTGGGGGAGGAGGAGGCCAAGGGCTGCTGGCCCAGTGGGGAGAGGCAGGAGAATGCTGGACCTAGGTCATGAGGTGCCCTGGCCTTCCTTAAAATGGTTATCTGGTATAGGCCAAAGGAATTAGGGTTATTTTGTTATGGTTGTTTTTGTTTTTTGGATTTTTTTTTTTTTTTTTTTGAGACAAGGTGTTGCTATGTAGTCTAGGTTGGCCTTGAACTCATCATGTATGTAGCCAGGCTGGCCTCAAACTCATGGTGATCCTACTGAGTACTGGGATTACAGGCATGTGCCATCATCCCTGGCAGAAGAATTGTTTGGAATCAAAAGATCTAGGTTTATGCCCTGGTTCCTCAACTTACTACAATAGTTGTTTGTCCTTGGTAAGTTACTTTATCTTTCTGGGCATGTTCTTCATCTCTAAAAGGGAAATAAACCATAATCTCTTCCCTACCTGCATTCAGCATTGTTATGAGGTTCAGATAACGCATAACATGGTAAAATGGGCAGCAGTGAAACTACGGGCCTCCCTCCTCAGGCCC